AGAAAAAGTGACAGCCTAGGAAATCATACACTCAAGACCTTGACCAGAGAGTTCTGGGAGCAAGCACCGCTTTGGCAGTGAGAATATCTTCGTGTGCTCATAGCCAGCCAGCGATATCGAGGGCAGGTTGATGACGTGCTGTGTTGAGAGTGGTTCCTTACATTTCCCTCAACAGCGAATTGTTTTGAAAATGTCCCCCATTTTCTATCCCTTTAGTTATGTCTGGCTACTTCTCTTTCCCACACTCCATGCACTGCCCTGGATCTCACCCCAGACAGAACCAAGGCCCCACACTCTCACCAACTGCAGTCACAAGAGCGAAGATGAGGCAGCCCTTCATGGCAGGCTAGGCTCGCCAGGAACAGACAGGTTAATTAAACTGTAAGCTGTTCCAGTCTCTAGCCCAGCTGTCTTTGGTAAGGCCAGCTGGAGGAGAAATACAAATTCTGCAGTCAAACGGGATCTTCAAACCAGTTTGTAGCAAAGCCCAATCACAGACAGCATCGCTGGGAGCTGTGGCTGATGTGAGTCAAAGGGAGGAAGGCACAGGCCAAGTCAAGGCCTGGTGCCTCCTTTCTGAGCCTGCAAATCTCCCCAGGAGTCATGATATACCTGCCAACATCTCCCCTCCCCTCTCTGTGACATAGTCTTTGTCCTCTCTGCCCTTTGTGACTGTAAGCCTCTCTCCGTCCTCCTCTGCTCCTCCTTCCTTCGAAAGGTCCCTCTGCTATTTTCAGACACTGACAGGACACTGGGATTCGAAAGGCACTTAATAAATCACTGTTTCTCTCTCTCTCTTTTTTTTTCCCCTTTTTTTCTTTCAGTGATGAAGACCTTGTGGTCCTCATGGAAGTTAGTGGCACAGTTAGGACTCAGAGTTGAGTTCTCAGACTCCCTGGTAGTCTTTACCTGAGCCTGTGCTTCCAGAAAACAAAGGGTTCAGAAATTGCCCAGTCCTTTAGCGTTCTGGGAGGTTAATGACCACAAAGTACCACTCTGCCCTTAAGATTTAGATGAGACGTTCTGTCCGCTCTCTCATATGACACCCATAAGGCTTCAAAGGATTTTCTGTCAACCCATGACAGGTCAAACACAAACCTTCCCCATTTGTCTGCACCTGTTCCTACGGCCAGACCCAGATCCTTCAACTTCCTGTTCTTTGTTTCCTGGATGATTAGCTGAGACAAGAATAATTTGTTTCCTTAAAACCAGCTCCACTCAGAAATTAACATTTCCTATTTAGCTACTGACTGAGACGTTGTTCCTTTAATTGCGAAACAACCCCAACCGTAAATCTCCTGACCTGTAACTTGTCAATTTCTCCCTATGAAAGTCCAGTGCAAAAGCACCCTGCCTAGACAATCTATTCTTCAGATCTGGGATGTTCCTCTATTAGAATAGTCTGAATAAAACCAATATCCTTACTTTCTTTTTCTTTTTCGCTTTTGTTTTTAATTTGCTAGAGAGCGCATGCACTCACTGGAGAAAGAGAGAGAGAGAGAGAGAGAGAGAGAGAGAGAAATATACCCTTCCCTGCAGTGGGTGAATGGTCACACTGCAATCCTTTCTCCTCTGTTTCTCCTTTAGGGATTCTGGGCATGCATGCACACACATCTGGCGTGGTTTTCAAGCATCTAGGTCTGGGACTCAAACCATACAGTTGGCCATGTGGGATCTGGCTGCTTTAAACACCACACCACCGGCCAGCTCTGTTTTTGTGTTTTGTACCTGTTACTCTTTCCATATGCATCACGTTCCTTCTTTTTATAAATTAACCGTACACGATAACTTCCTGACTGTCCCTTAGGGGCAGGTAGTAAATAGCAGTTTTAATCCTACATTTTATAGACAGGAGATTGAACACATTCAAAACATAGAAATGAGAACTGGATGGTGTCAGAGTAATTAAAGAGTTAATCGGTTATAAAAGACCACAAAAATAACATTCCAATGCCTGTAAAATCATATGCAAACTTTGTTTTGCAAATTACATTTTAGGAGAACTTAAAACATGTCATCTAGATGTTCCTAAGTCCTCTAATCATGTGGGGATTCCATTTCTTTACTATCCAGTGTTTTTAAATTTTTAATAATAATATTAAAGTCAGCATTTATTGAGTTTTTACTATGTGTCAAGCATTATTATATGTTATATATATATATATATGTGACACAATTGATTTTTTATAATGGTATAATTAATTTTTAAATTATTTATTTATTTATTTTTACATTCAATCACTGTGTATCATTACTGCATACTCACCTCATTAGTATCTTTTTTCTATGAGTAGGGAAGCTGAAGATCTGTAAAGTTAAAAGCTATGCTCACAACCCCATTGCTCATAGCCGTGGCCCACATTTAGAAAGTCCAGCACCTCTTTCCAAAGATTTATCTGGTAAGACTGAGACTTATTTCTGTTGCTTTCTCTAACAATATCCAGTCTGCTTTGACCCAGCACAAGGAAACAGCTATCTACACTTTATTTCTCAGTTCACCGCTAACCCAGAGCTTTGATGGGTTTCCCATTTTAGTTGAAGATTTGGAGATACTAAGATTTGGAGATAAGAGGAACTCTGCCCCAGGTCTGATAACGTTCTCAAATGGAATATCAGAAATTGCTTTATGAATGTTTATTAGTCACCTGCAGCATCTGGGGTCTTGTACCCTGTGGTCTGATCTTTCCATTTAAACTCTGGAAGTTAACATTCAACTCCGGACTTGTCCCACCTCCCATTAGGCTGGCTATTTCTTGGTTGTGTTTTGTACTCTCATTTCTGTGTATTCAACTTTAGTTTTCCTGGTATAGCACTCCCATCAGCACTTCTTGGAGAGTTGGTCTGGTGTTGGTAAATTCTTTCAGGTTTTCTTTATCTGAGAATGTTTTTGGCTTTTTTTCCCATATGAACAATAATCTTACTGTGTATAGTACTCTTGGTTGAAATTGTTTTTTGATTAACACTTTGAATATATTTTCCCATTCTTTCCTTGTTTGCATTGTTTCAGATGAGAGGTCTGATGTTAGCCTGATGGGATAGCCTTTGAAAGTAACTTGACGTTTCTCTCTTGCCAATTTTAGTATCTTGTCTTTGTCTGTGGTTTTGGTCAATCTGCTATGATGTGCCTTGGAGAAGATCTGGGGTTGGTTCTATGTGGGGTCCTTTGTATTTCTTGGGTCTGGATATTTGAGTGCCTCTCTAGGTTTGGAAAATTTTCTTCCAGGATTTTATGGAATAGATTATCAATGTCCTTATTAGTCTCTTCACTTTCTAGGATACCTATAACCCGTATGTTTGGGTATTTAATAGTGTCTAATATTACTCATATGTTATTCTCATTTTGGGGGATTATTTTCTCAATCTTTTTTGGTGAATTTTTCTAGGTCAGAAGTTCTATCTTCTACATCTGTGATTTAGTCTTCTGCATAATCTAATCTACTTTTAATACGTTCAAGGGAGTTTTTGATTTCTTGTATTACAGCCTTCATCTCTAACAATTCCATTTGATTATTTTTTTATGGTGTGTATTTCCTCTTTCAGATTGTGCAAAAATTTCCTCCCCTCCTGGATCTCATTATGTCTTCTTTCCTGCATTTTCTAGAGTTTGTTGTCTCTCTTTTGCATCTCTGTTAGCTTTGTCACTATGAATATTTTAAATTCCTTATCTGACATTTCCAGGAGTTTCCTTGTATTGCCTGTGGAGGATATGGAGTTATTCTTTTCCCTTAGAGGAGAGATAGTTTGTTGATTTCTCATATTTCTTGTACCTCTACCTGATAACCCGTATGTAGTGGTTTCTGGTCATCTGATGGCTTATGTCATTTTTTCCTAGTTTTTGGAGTTAAATCGGAACATTCAGAGGCATGCAGGAGGAGGTGACCTGCGATATCTAAACAGTACCATTTTTCTCCTTTTGTGTAGCAGATTCAATGGAAATTGAGGATTAACTTGATCCTGAAAATATTCAGATCTTTGGCTACTCTGCACCTAGACTTGTCTAGAAACTCAGTGTCTGGATGCTGATCAGAAATGTGAAAATGGTAAAAAGAAAAGGAAAAGAAAAAAAAAGAGAGAGAGAAAAAGACAAGAACAATTTTTAAAAAGAGAACAAAAAAATTTTAAAGCAAAAGATTAAAACTGCGTGGCATGCTAGAGTGCCGTGCAAAAGGGGCACTCAGAACTCAGACGCTATAGATTGCTGGTGGTTGACTTTTTCAATGGGGGTAAGGAGGAGGTAAGAACTAGTAAGACAAATGAGCAACAGAGAGCTAAGAACTTTAAAAGTTAAAATAAATAAAAAATAGAGAGAGACAGAGAATAAATAGTGTGCTATATCCTGGTTAGATCTGGGGGGCAGGAAGGTGAAGTCTGGGCAGAAGGTTGTCAGTGGTCCTAATCCATGAGAGGAGTGCTCAGAGCTCAGATACAGATGGTGGTGATTGGCTTGTCCTGGCTTTTTCTGGGACAAGATAAAGTGATAAAATCTCACTTTTCTTTGGTCCAGCTCTGAGTGCTTATCTTTTGTGTATCTCATCTATCTTGTCAGATCTCAGAACTTCCCTCTCCCTGAGGTGGTGAGGTGAGTCAATGTTTGTTGGTGGAGATGGTGTGGAGCAGAAAAATACTTCAAAGTGGACAGGAGAAACTTAAATTTGCTTGTTTCTGCAGAGACTCTGAGAGGTTTCTTTAAGGTTAGTCTAAGACTACTTTTTAAACAAAGGGAAGTTATATGAAGTTAATTTAGACCATACACAAACAAAATTCATTCAATGAGAACTAAGAAAACAAGTCAGGAGCGGCTTGTTGTGACCAAATACATAAAAGCCTTAACAGACAGGCTGGACTGTCAGTGTCGAGGTGGTTCAGGCGGCTGGATCCCACATGGCTGACTGTAGAGGTTTGAGTCTCAGACCTGGCAGCTTGAAAGACATGCTGGAGCATGTGTGTGAATGGCCAAAATCCTGAGAGGGGGAAGATTGTGATGTGATCATCCCCTATTTCTTATTTTCCCCTCTTTCTCTTTCTCTCTTGCTCCCCCTGCCCCCCCACCCCCCCCCACACACACACAAAAAGCAAGGCTAAGAATTTTGCCTCTATTCTAGTGGCAGTGATCAGGCAGTATTGAGTTTAGGACTACCTTCTACAAGTGTCATCCAAAATTACAAAAGGATAGAAAATTGGTAGTGGGTACATATATTTTCCTATACTGTCCTCTGTTGAGACATCTGTTAGGGGTTACATGTTTGTGTCTCCCCAAAAATCTATGTGGTGAAAGCTTAACCTCCAATTGAACGATTTTAGGAGGTGCAGCTTCTGGGAAATAGTTATGTTCAGAAAAATACAATAGGAAAGAGCCTTCATAATAAAATTAGAGTATTTATAAGAAGACAGAAAGACTAAAGTTAGCTCTCTTGGCTATCCGAGGATACAAGACAGTCATCAGCAAACCAGAAAGCCCACTCTCACTAGACAGCAGACCTGCTGTTGCCCTAATCTTGGACTTACCAGCCTCCAGAACTGCAAGAAATAAATTTTTCTTGTGTAAGTTACCCAGTGTTTGGTATTTTTGTAATAGTAGTCTGACCTGATTAAGGCAGTATTCGTCCTTCAGTTAATCAGTGAGACTGCCAATATTTCCCCCTTTGAAACCTACTTTAGTCCCAGACCCCATTGTATGTTCTCTTAGGCCATACCAGATATGCACAGGAAGGCTGTTCTGCTTCATACCCTCCTCTGGATGATCCATGGAACAATGAAGACTTGCATGGAGAGCCGTTGCAGAATCAAACCATGTGCTTGTAGGTGCACTCTCCAGGTAGGACTGGAGAACAGTCACTCCTCACTTAACAACCTACCTGTTTAACAACCACTGGGCTTATGACCAGTTCGACCCTGCAAAAAATCCCCTTTCTCAATCTGTGTCAGTCTTGGAAATTCTCTTTCTTGGTCTTTGTCTCATTCCTACAGTCAGTCAGTATTCACTACATGAGGCATTCACAACCACACAGACTACATATTTCATTTATAAATGTCTTTTTTTTGAGAGAGAGATTTTTGCTATAGGGCACATGAGCCCATGCAGAGAGACAGAAGGATACAGAGAGATAGCTAGAAAGTGAGAAATCTCCCTCGAGAGGATATGGCCATGCTACAGTCTCTTCTTCTCCATTCTCCCCTCAGGATTTTGGGCGCGCATGCACACGCACACAGCAAGAGTTTCAAGCCCCTGGGTTCAGTACTCAAATCACCGTGGACTACATGGAAGTACAACAATGTAACCATTACTCCATCTGCTGGTCCCTTATTTATAAATTTGTACTTTATTGTGCACCCATGTAAGTATTCAGAATAAATAAAAAAATTATTATGCCACATTTAAGTTATTAGATTGGGGTATGTCTTATTGCTTTCTGGTGCTTATCTAATGTATGCTAGAATTACATTATTCTGGTGTGGTGTCACATGATACTAATAAATGCATGCATATGGTGCCACAACACATACAAGACATCTGCCTTTAAACTCCTCACTTATTGACCAGTCTGCTTCACGACCTAGTCTAGGAATGGAACTTAGCTGCTAGTGCAGAGTGCCTGCAATACTTCTGTAGCCAAGACCTTTATGATCTCAGCATAAAGTATCTGCTTTCTGCAAACTAATCCACATATGTTGTTTCTGTTCTTTTAGTTTAAATTAGTAAATAATCTGGGCTGGGATTTGGGGAATAATCTGGAAGAGGGCATGGATTAATCTTGAGAGCTCATGCCTCCTATACCAACATATGCTAGTTGGAAAACAAGAAAGATCTTGAAAAACTTGAATATATAAGTAGATAAAACCTTGAAAATGCAGGAAACCTGTGATTTTTTTTTTTGAAACCTGTGATTTTTAAAAATATTTCTGCACCTAGAGTTTTCCCTTGTCTGTCTTCATAGAGCTTTAGATAGACTGAATTTATTTATTTATTTTTCTTCCTTTCTTTTTTTTTGGAAAGGTTTTTGCTATAGGGCATGTGTGCTCAACAGAAAGACAGAGAGAGATAGAGAGACAGAAAGTGAGAAATCACCCTCCAGGGGGCATGGCCATGCCGCAATCCCTTCTCCTCCATTCTCCTCTTGGGATCTTGGGCACACACTCACAGGCACACAGCGTGAGTTTAAGCCACCAGGTCTGGGACTTGAACTGCAGTTGACTACATGGGAGTGCAGTGACGTAGCTATTACACCAACAGCTGACCCCAGATAGACTGAATTTATCAAGAAAGGGAGAGATCTCTGTCCCAGCAGCAGCTATGCACCAGAAATAAGGACATCGTGGACTTCATCTTGGCTTCACTCTGAGCTATTTGAATGAGTTTAGGTAATTTCTTTTCATTTCCTGAGTTTTAATGACATCTATTATAAGTTATGAACACATGATCTACTATAAAGAGGCATCATCAATGTGTATTGTATCCAAATCTTATGACAAAATTTATCTGACACATTCATAAAGTGTCTAATGGGGCCAAGAGGTGGCATGGTAGTTGGGGCACTGGACTCCCACATGGCTAACTGCAGTTCAAGTCGCAGATCTGACATCTTTCTTTCTTTCCTTTTTCCTTCTTTCTTTCCCTTTCTTTCTCTCTTTTTCTTTCTTTCTTCCTTCTCTTTCTTCTTTTCTTTCTTCTCTCTCTCTCTCTCTTTCTCTGGCGAGTGCATGTGCCCTCTAGCAAATTCAAAAGTAATAATAATGATAAATAAAATAAAATAAACACTTATTTTAGAATGAGTCTAATAATTACAAATGAATGTAATATAGCAGTGATTTCTAATTTTATTAACCTTTTTATTTTCAATGTCTCAATTAGAGTGTGGTGTATAGTATGTGATCAATACATTTTTATTATATATATATTGAATTAAATGACTGAATAAACTTTCAAATTATTTAAATATTTCAATATTTCTACTTTATGCCTACCTTGTCACTTAGTTTCAAGAGAAAGTTCATTAATACCAAAAAATGACTATTCTTGGACAGAAGTGGTACAGAAATGTTTTTATTTAGATATTACTTTCAGGCATAGAATGAAGGTGAAGTTGACTGCTAAGAGGTGAGTCGTTAAGAGACAAAGGTGCTTAGTTGGCAGCGATGGTCTGCTTAATCCAGTCCACGTAGTTGCAGACCTTGGTGTAGACACCAGGTTTGCCTTTCTGAGCACAGCCATAGCCCCAGGAGACAATTCCCTGGAGTTCTCCATTGCAGACCACAGGGCCACCAGAGTCACCCTGAATAAGAGGGAAGAGACATTCAGAGCTCTTGTTCATGTCCAGATGGGTTAATGGGTTCTGAGATATCCCACCTTTACACTGGGGCCATTTTACTAGCTGTGGATTCTCCATGAAGCATCTTTTCTTTCCCCGTAAATCCAGTCCTCAGGCTACTTACTGCATCCCTATTCTTCCTCATCCCTTCTCTAGCCCTTCCTCTTTCGTCAGTAAGCCTACACAGCCAGTAAGACTGAGGATTGGATGCTTTTTTTGTTTGTTTGTTTGTTTGTTTTTGTCATTATATAAATCACTTGTCATTTTTATTTGCATTCAAACTATAAAATAGAATGAAAACTGCAAGACATAATATTGTTGTTTGGAAAGTGTGCATTTCAGTTCTTCAATCAACTATTAGCAAAATGACCAATGAACTTGGTCATAGTATCTATTGAACATCAACATGTAAAGCAGATACATTTTGAGAAAAATCATTGACAAATTTGCAAAAGTTGAGGAACAAAAAAATAGCATTGATTATTAATTACTGTGAGAGATCAATATGTAAATACTATTTTTCTTTTAAAAGAGTCCAATCAAAAGATGGGCAGATGAACTGAAGAGACAACTCCCCAAGGAAGACATAGGAATATCCACAAAACATTTGAAAAAATGCTTAATGTCTTTTATAATAAGAGAAATACAAATCAAAACCACAATGAGACAGCACTTAACCCCAGTCAGAATGGCTAAGATTAAAAAAATAAAGAATGGTATGTGCTGGAAAGGCTGTGGTGAAAAGGACCCTCCTACACTATTGATGAGTATATAAATTAGTACAACCACTGTGGAGGAGAATATGTAGGTTCCTAAGAAACCTACAAATAGAACTGCCATATGACCCTATAATTCTACTCTTGGGTATCTACTCAAAGGATAGGAAAACAGTCAGAAACACACTTGCACATCCATGTTTACTGCAGCATTATTCACAATTGCTAGGACACAGATCAACTCAAATGTTCAAGAACAGATGAGTGAATTGAAAAAATGTGGCATGTGTACTCTATGGGATAACTACTTAGCCATAAAAAACAATGACATCCTGACATTTGATATAAAGTGGACAAATATGGAAGATTTAATGCTAAGTGAAGCAAGTTAGACTATAAAAGAGAGACACTGTATATCCCTGCTTAATATATACCAAATGTCTGTACTCTATAGCAGAAACTGAAAGATTGGGAGGCATAATAGCAGGAGGCCAACTCTAGATACTAGAGACAATATAGAAGGAGGATAATGGGAGCGAGAGGGAAGGGATCAGGAGAAAAAAATCAAACAAAACATTTAATAGACACAAAAATGAAAAGTTATCTGGTGATGATAATGTGTATGGTAATGCTTTTGACTTGACTAATATGCACTGTATTCAGGCGGGGAAAAATAATTTTGTACACTTTAAAGATGTACACTGTACATTAAGTGTAAATTATAAAGTAAATTAAAGGGGCCAGCAAGTGGTGTAGTAGTTAAGATGCTGGACTCCCACATGACTGACCCTGGTTCCAGTCCCAGACCTGGCAGCCTGAAACTCATGCCAGTGTGTGCATGGATGCCCAAAATCCTGAGAGGAGAATTGAGGAGAAGGGATTGTGGCATGGCTCTCCCTTCTGGAGGGGGTGTGATTTTTCATTTTTTGTCTCTCTGCCTCTCTGCTGTTTCTCTAGTGAGCACACATGCCCTATAGCAAAAATCTCTCTTTAAAAAACATTAATTAATAAGCTTTTAAAAGTTCATGGAAAAAAAAATAAATGTACGTAAGTCTCACAAGCTGCAGCTGGAAGTACAAAAAGTATATAGAGAGATATAATTAAAGGTATTAATCTGTTACTTTTTGAAGTTTTTGTACTATAGTATCTATTCTACTCTTTATTTTTACTGGCATAATATAAAGACTAATAAAACATTATTATTGTTTGTAAAAAAAAAATATATATATATATATATATAGAGAGAGAGAGAGAGGACTCAGTTTTATGCTGCCCAGTTAGTTCTACCCCTTTCCAGGAGTTCAGCTCCTCAGAACACCTCCTTAGAAGGGTGCCTAGAAGTACTTTCTTGAACACCATCTTCTGTGTATCTTTTTATCCTTAATCCGAACTATTAATATCACAAAAAGAAACTTTATAATTTTTTTCCAGACTACCCTTGATTTGCAGAATTAGTCCTAGGGACAATTTTGTAACCCTCTGTGTTTCAGAAAAGGAGTAATATGGTGGAAAAACATGAAACTGAACTGGATGGAGAGGGGATACAAAGACACTAACCTGGCAGGAGTCCTTTCCACCCTCCAAGAATCCCAGACAGATCATGTTGCTGGTGATCTGTCCTGGGTAGGCATTGCTGCAAACAGAGGCAGAGAGGATTGGGGCCTTCAGACACTGCAGGAGCTCAGGGTAGTTGGCTGATGAATACAAGAGTGAAAATGGAAGATTACCCATACAGTTCCTGAGAATTTCTTTCCCAGCAATTCTCTCCTTTTCCCCAATACTCCCACTCTTCTCAATTTGTCACTGATTTGTAGTTTGGAAGAATAACTTTTTCTGAAAGGTTTAACCAAATACTTTTAATCAACAAGTCATTCTTTCTCTGCACTAGCATTAAGTGTCCACAGATCTCAAGTCTAGAGATCTCAATCTAGAGATTTTTACTTGTCAAGCAGGTAAATACTTCTGGCACTATCCAATTCCTTAGCCTCTGTTCTGTTTACTTCCCCATTCTCTAGTCCTCCGTGCATCATTGATCACACTTCCGTTAAATATCTTGATGTCTTTATAATATTTTACTTTTGTTGTGTCTTCTACATGGTCCCAGCAAAAGATTCTTACTCATTTCAGTTAGTAAATTCTAAGACTCCATATATCTAGAGATTTCCCTCTGGAAACCTTATCTGGACTAATCTGTGGACAACTAACTCTCAGCATGCCTTTCACCTCTAGTAGTCTCACAATGGTACTTCTGTTTCAGGTGACACTTACTGCCGCTGCTCAGGGTGTTTCCCCAGCCAGAGATGAGGCACTGAGTACCAGCAGCCGCACAGGATCTTGGGAGAGAAACCGTAGACACTCGAGAGCTGATGGTGGCTGGTGAGCTCAGTTTAATCAGCATGATGTCGTTGTCAATGGTGGCTGAATTGTATTTGGGGTGGCGGATAACCTTGGCTGAATTGATGAATTGCTCATCACCCTCAAGAACGTCAATGTTGTGTTCTCCCAAACGCACCTGGATTCGTCTAGATTAAAGGAACAAAATTTCCTAAGCATCCAACTTGAGCTCCTTCCCCTTCCCTCTACTCCTTACTCAAAAGCATAAACAGGCACTATTCTGCTCAAGCGTTCACTCACACAGGTAACTGTGTACTTCAGGTGGCAATGGGCACTACCACACATGGTGCAGGTTAGAGTATTCCTTAGGGAAGGGTCTCTACAAGTACAGACTTACAGCCTGCTGTCTTTTTTTTTTTTTTTCCCCATGATTCAAATTTCCCCACAAGGAGAATTTTATTGATTACTTTATGCCCTCACAAAAAAGACCAACTGTAATCAAATGTGGTGAACATTCACCTCAAGATTTTGTCATCTTCATAATAAAACAAAAGATGAAGCCTAGAACTGAATCACTTGACCCTTTCTCTTCTTATCTCTTAATAGCCAGCATTCTCTTAGATCTGCAGTTGGGCTCAACACATTCACGCCTCAGCACAATCTTCTTTGTAGTTTTTGTGGAAAAAAGGCTTTTTCCAGAAAATAGGCTTAGTCTGTCCACCACAGCCACTCTGCTTCCGGTCTTAATGCCGCTTTCCCTGAGCATACAGAGAATCCTTGCCCTTTTTGTACTGTGTCACTTTACGAGGTTGGTGTTTGCCACATTTCCTACAGAAATTCTGGCAGGTTTGGGGGCCGTTCACCATGTGTGTGGGCATGCTATCTGCACAGAAAGCACAGCCTACTGTCTTATTAGAATAGTAAGGAATGGGGAAGGGACAAACGAGCCCAATGAAGACAGGTGGAAATAAAAACAAAATTGGTGAAGACTGTTTGGCACCTACCACTTCTCTGGTTGGATTTCTGATTTGCCACAGGGAAATGGGACAAGACTCAGAGATATGGTAGAATATTAATGGAGCAGAATAGATCATGCTTATTTTTAATGTACTGGAAATTCCATGTATTCTATTGATTCCTCATACCATTTCTTTTCCCAGTTGTGCTATGATTAGGACAATGTCCTGATTCACATTCTCAGGCTATATCCAGGGATATTTTATTCACCCACTATTCCCCTTCTGTCTTTAGCACTATCATTTGGGAAGAAATCAGGGAATACTAAGAGTATCTTTCCATGCAGAATCTCCTCCCTATATCATGCAATACTTGGGAACTAATAAGGTCTTTTGGATCCAAATGCTTCACCCCAAAGCATAACTCTGCAGTTCACCCCAGTTGTGCTTTAGCAGGGCTAGAGGATAGGCTGATCTTAGAGCACAGGAGTGTGAGAATTGGTCACTTACGACTTGTAGCAGTGAGCTGCGGACACCACCCACTGATCACTGATGAGGGAGCCACCGCAGAAGTGGTAGCCAGCATTCAGGGACACCTGGTAGGGGAGGGAATTCTTTTGACAGGTGTAGCCCCCAACGATCTTGTCATCATCATCATTAGTGGGGAAAGCAACTGACAGGAAAAAAAATAGGAATTATCTGTTAAACGGATCCATGTTGGAATTTCTATTCTGCCACGATGGTCTGCAAATTGGCCAGAAAAGATTAGTGTACTATTGTCTCATTTAATCAGGAAGTGGTGGTTTAAGGTAATACCTTTAGCATGTGCCCTAGTTAAATCATTATAAATGTCTAATTATTAATTTATGCTTTAAATTTTATAAATATCTTGTTCTCATTATGAAGGAACTTCAAACATTTCACAGGAAAGGGGAATAAATTACAAATTTATTTTGATGAAAATAATTTTGAAATCCATGCATAGTTTTTCATAATATGCATTTTCTAAGAACTTTCGGAAGGGATATAATTATGTTTTCAGAAACACACTCACAAAGATCAGTGACTCTTCACACAATATAAGGGTATTTTGAAAAGTTTGTGAAAAATCGAATTAAAGCACTCATTTATTTTAGTGTAAAAATGTTTGAAGCCTAGGTATAGTATTTTTAATTATACATGTTTCAATCAACTTTTTGAAGACCCCTTTTAAATGCCTTGAGCATCGCAACCTGAGCTATAAAGAACATGTGCTACATAGAGTCTTGCTCAGCAGTCATGCAATCAGCTCTAAAACTTTGCAGTAATAATGGTTGTACTTGTGTGTAATGGTTGGTGGAACACTCATAGGGGTTAACATCTCCAAACATGAAGGATGTTTTTAGAAGCCCACTGAGAATGTTTGGATTAGAATGTAATGGGAGTTTTTGTACTTCTGCTCACCAAGTTTTTTTCCCTGGTTTTGGGCTAAAATTTTCATTAAATAATCTTTACAGAACTTTATAATATTTCCTTTCCCAAACTCTATCTTCTTCCAATGATCTTTCCAGCATTTATCAATATATTCAGCATTTTGCAGTCCGGCCCACTGATTAATCAAGATTTCTCATAGATCCCAAAGTCTGTGATTACATGAGTCCTATTGTCCAAACACTGGATTGTCTGAAAAGTCATGACATATTTTTGCATTGAAAAACATCAAAAAATAGTCATGACTTTTCTGACAACCCAATATTTAAAAAGAAACTTAGGAAAGAAGTTTCTGGGCATGTAGAAAGATATACTGAATTCATACCCTCCCCATTTGGGAAAATTTAGTGTAAAGTTTTAGTAGCATAAAATTTGGGAGGATAAAAATAGAAATAATGAGATTTTTTTCCATGATTGGATGACATATTACTTTGCACCAAAGATATTTCTTTGGCAAAGATAACATGAAACCCGGCCAATAGCTTTTATTCATGGCAAATAAATCTCGTTGCTTTTGAAGATCTCTTAGTTCTAAATAACTAAACTTTCAGTATAGAGGAGACTCTGGCTCTGAAGTTCACAAGGAGAACAAGATTAGTCTGACCATTAACTACATTCTTTTTCTTGTTTTTGCCATAGGGCATGCATACTCGACACAGAGAGACAGAACAAGATAGAGGTAAAATGAGATATCATCCCCTAATGAGGATGACCACCCTGAAATCCTTTCTCATCTAGTCTCCTCTCAGGATCTGGGGCATGCACACACATGTGCCTGGTGTGATTTCAAGTTGCTTGGTCATGGACTCAAACTACAGAGTCACCATGTGGGATCCAGTACTTTAACCTCTATACAGTTGCTAGCCCTATTAACTCCAAATTCTTAGAAAGGTCAAGACAAGTGCTACCTTAATGTCAACTATCATTTTCTTTTCCCTTCTTTATACATTTTACCTGGAAGTTCAAAGGAAGTTCTTTTTCTTTGTACCTTCGATCTTGATTTCTCCTGTTCACCATCTTCTCTATACCATGTTTCAACATTTTAAGCTTCTTTAGTACTGATTCTTTATTCAACATTCCTTGTTTTCTTCCAAAGTACAAAGTGCAAGCTTAAATATATGACTGACTACTGATTTACTCATTAAAAAAGACTTACCAGCAGCTCCCAGGAGAGCAAGAAAGATGAGGGTCTTCATGGCTACTCACTGGATCTGGACTGGGGAATAAGATGAAGGGTTTTCATCCACAACCATTTATATCCCCAGATATGTCCTTGACACCCATGGTCATAGGTGCCAGAAAAGTGAGTTCATTGGAAACTTACAAATCTAAATTTAGAATTCAGTTCTATGACAGATGGAAGATAATTCAGCATCAAATTCAGATAGCAACATTTGTCCACTTTTCCAGGAGGTTATGGGAATGAAAGTAGTGAGCCCATCTGGTAGAAATTGCTACTTATAATAGAAAAATAAGTCGTACTAAAGTCATTGGACAGAGCCACAGGTGTTCTGATTCCCAGACAGAAATCTTGGGTACTAGGTTGTCTCAACTGTGTACTTTCGTTCAAAAGACTTTCTTAAACCCTGCGTCCTTGAAGGTTAATTAACGTAACTCTTTCACATCTATATATTTTGTCTATGATGGCTCTGGTCTTCTATATCTATGCTAAGTTTTATTATTAGTAGGAACAACTTATTCCCCTGAGAAAAGGAAAACTCTCCTTATTTCAAATTATAAGGAAATGTCAGGAGTATTGTAAGTATTTTGCCCATATTGACTTAGTAATCCTCATAACAACTATACTAGATAATTGTTACAACTCCCACTTTTCAGATGCGAACGTACCACAATTTTCACCATTTAAGGGGCAGGGAGGCCTAGAAGGTTCAAGTATATTTCTCAAAGTTTTATAGCTGTTAAGTGGTCAACCAGGGTTCACATTTAAGAAGCCTCATCTTAGGGTTCATGTCCTTAACTGCAAAGCCATAAACATAATAAGGAAAAATGATCTGAACCCTACCAAATTAAGGATCAACTCCTGGAAAATTCAAGAAAGTTTCCTGAAGGAGGAATTGTCATAATTAATAGGGCACAAGAGAAATATTTAGAATGAGTGAGTCTCAATGAGAAGCACCCTCTAGCTACGTATAGCCAGATTCTGCACTTACACCATCAGCATGAGATGACCTGTCAGGATGTTATTTCTGCTTAAGCAAATTATCAGTCCTGAAGTGGTTTTGTTTCTTTTAAATTTGAAATTTTGCTGTTAAAAGGCAGTTTCTCAACTGTGACACTACTGACAGCTTGGGCCAGATAATCCTTCGTTGTGGGGAACTTTCCTGTGCATGTAGGTTGTTCATCCGCATCCCTGTCCTCTAGATGCAAACAGCAATACTCCGTACCCCAATGAGGACTAGACAACCTAGTACCCAAGATTTCTAAGGATGTCTAAAAATTTCTCCAGACAGTGACCAATGTTCCTTGCTGGACAGAATCATTCCCAGTTGAGAACCACAGCTCTAAAGAGAGAAGGACAAAGGGGCTTTGCTTCTAAAGCTATCAATGTAAGAAAGTGCCTTGAACTTTGGGACAACATAGGCATTCAATAACTACTGAACTAATGGCACCCATGGTAGGGAGCTGGCATTAACAGATGCCAAGAATCAGGAAATAAGTAGAAGTAAGGAAAGGAGCAATGCTCAGATTGAGAAAGGGAAAGTTCATCCAGTTCTGTTATCTTTCATTGCCGATACCTCCAATGCTGAGGAGTTAGAAGTGTGATTTTACATCACCCCTAGAACTTCCCAGAACCTCATCCGAGGTCTTAGCCTGAGTAGAAAACACATCTGAGAGCAGAGCTTCTTACCATGATTGGCTCATGTGCTGCTGTGTCCCAGAGAGCTCCCTCTGGTGCTCTGGGCTTTATCACTGGACTTCTTCCAGGAGGAAAAGAATGAGGTTGATATTCTGAGTATGTTGGAGGGAGGGAAGTAAGGACAGTTATCAAAGATCAAGTGCCATCCTCCCCACAAAAAAACAAAACAAAACAAAACAAAACAAAACAAAAACAAAAAAAACCCTGAGACAGAGGAATGTGGTCCTGTCTTTCTGGCTGGTGTGATTGTTCTTTAGTCATTTAAAAAAATAATGGGCTTGGGAGAAAATGTCAAGTGACAGTTTCTAGACTTCAGTTATTCCCATGCCACTCTCATACTTTTTTGGAGAGGTTTTCACTATAGGGCGCGTGCGCTCGCCAGACAGAGAGAAACAGAGAGACAGAAAGTGAGAAATCACCCTCCAAGGGGGATGGTCACGCCGCAATCCCTTCTCCTCCATTCTCCTCTTGGGATCTTGGGCACGCACGCACACGCGCCCAGCGTGAGTTTTAAGCCACCGGGTCCGGAACAACTTATTCCCCTGAGAAAAGGAAAACTCTCCTTATTTCAAATTATAAGGAAATGTCAGGAGTATTGTAAGTATTTTGCCCATATTGACTTAGTAATCCTCATAACAACTATACTAGATAATTGTTACAACTCCCACTTTTCAGATGCGAACGTACCACAATTTTCACCATTTAAGGGGCAGGGAGGCCTAGAAGGTTCAAGTATATTTCTCAAAGTTTTATAGCTGTTAAGTGGTCAACCAGGGTTCACATTTAAGAAGCCTCATCTTAGGGTTCATGTCCTTAACTGCAAAGCCATAAACATAATAAGGAAAAATGATCTGAACCCTACCAAATTAAGGATCAACTCCTGGAAAATTCAAGAAAGTTTCCTGAAGGAGGAATTGTCATAATTAATAGGGCACAAGAGAAATATTTAGAATGAGTGAGTCTCAATGAGAAGCACCCTCTAGCTACGTATAGCCAGATTCTGCACTTACACCATCAGCATGAGATGACCTGTCAGGATGTTATTTCTGCTTAAGCAAATTATCAGTCCTGAAGTGGTTTTGTTTCTTTTAAATTTGAAATTTTGCTGTTAAAAGGCAGTTTCTCAACTGTGACACTACTGACAGCTTGGGCCAGATAATCCTTCGTTGTGGGGAACTTTCCTGTGCATGTAGGTTGTTCATCCGCATCCCTGTCCTCTAGATGCAAACAGCAATACTCCGTACCCCAATGAGGACTAGACAACCTAGTACCCAAGATTTCTAAGGATGTCTAAAAATTTCTCCAGACAGTGACCAATGTTCCTTGCTGGACAGAATCATTCCCAGTTGAGAACCACAGCTCTAAAGAGAGAAGGACAAAGGGGCTTTGCTTCTAAAGCTATCAATGTAAGAAAGTGCCTTGAACTTTGGGACAACATAGGCATTCAATAACTACTGAACTAATGGCACCCATGGTAGGGAGCTGGCATTAACAGATGCCAAGAATCAGGAAATAAGTAGAAGTAAGGAAAGGAGCAATGCTCAGATTGAGAAAGGGAAAGTTCATCCAGTTCTGTTATCTTTCATTGCCGATACCTCCAATGCTGAGGAGTTAGAAGTGTGATTTTACATCACCCCTAGAACTTCCCAGAACCTCATCCGAGGTCTTAGCCTGAGTAGAAAACACATCTGAGAGCAGAGCTTCTTACCATGATTGGCTCATGTGCTGCTGTGTCCCAGAGAGCTCCCTCTGGTGCTCTGGGCTTTATCACTGGACTTCTTCCAGGAGGAAAAGAATGAGGTTGATATTCTGAGTATGTTGGAGGGAGGGAAGTAAGGACAGTTATCAAAGATCAAGTGCCATCCTCCCCACAAAAAAACAAAACAAAACAAAACAAAACAAAACAAAAACAAAAAAAACCCTGAGACAGAGGAATGTGGTCCTGTCTTTCTGGCTGGTGTGATTGTTCTTTAGTCATTTAAAAAAATAATGGGCTTGGGAGAAAATGTCAAGTGACAGTTTCTAGACTTCAGTTATTCCCATGCCACTCTCATACTTTTTTGGAGAGGTTTTCACTATAGGGCGCGTGCGCTCGCCAGACAGAGAGAAACAGAGAGACAGAAAGTGAGAAATCACCCTCCAAGGGGGATGGTCACGCCGCAATCCCTTCTCCTCCATTCTCCTCTTGGGATCTTGGGCACGCACGCACACGCGCCCAGCGTGAGTTTTAAGCCACCGGGTCCGGGACGTGAACCGTGGTTGACTACGTGGGAGTCCAGCGACATAGCCATTATGCTAACTGCTGGTTCCCTCTCATACTTTTTTTTTTTGCATTTAAACTACTTAGCATAGTGCATATAATATAGTTTTATTTATTTATTTATTTTGACAGAGATTTTTGCTATAGGGCATGTGCAATTGCTGGAGAGACAGAGAAAGAACTATGGGGAATAGCCATATTCCTTTACCCCAGCAAAGCTGGTTAGTACCTTTACTTCTCTTTCTAGCTTAAAATACATGATGGCTCAAAGGCATGTGTATACAGTGGATTGTCGGAAAAGTCATGACATATTTTTCGATGTCTTTCTGTGCAAAATGTGTCATAACTTTTCCGATGACCCAATATTTAACTTACCTGTATTTGTCACTTCTCTTTCCCATGCACATCACTTAGTGGCCTTGAAAAACTATTTAAACTTATGCTTAAATTGGGGGTTGATTTTGCTCCAGCAAATAATAGACATTTGTATTGGCAGGAAAAGGAGGCACCAGCTTCTACAGGCAAGTTTATGCTTGTTTCCTCCATAAACGCTGTGTTTCTTTTTCTTTTTCTTCTCCAATCACTTTTCTGACTACATTACTTAGTTACTGGAGTAATGTTGGCCTTGAACCACCTAGGTATATAGAGAAAATTTTAAATAACACTTCTTTCTTTGAAAAAATATACTAAGAAATACTAAATAAACTATGTGAACAATGAGGGTATCAAACGTCCAAAAGGCAGGGCCAGTGAGTGGTGTAGGGGTTGAGGTGTTGGACTACGACATGACCGACTATGGTTAGACTATCAGACCAGGAGGCCTGAAACTCATGTGCGACGTGTGTGCGGGCAGGCCCAAAATCCAGAGAGAAGAATGGAAGAGAAGGGATTGTAGTGTAGCTATCCCCTTTGGGGGCGATTTCTCATTTTCTTTCTCTCTGTTTCTCCGGCAAGCACACGTACCCTATAACAAAAATTTAAAAAAAGAAAAGAAATAAAAACAAAAAAGCAGAGGTGAACAAGATACAAAGCTTGTGTTCATGAAATAACCTTGATGCTAATCTGAGAGTTGATGCTCAAATGATCCCTCCTGGATCCTGTGTCCTCTGTTCAAGCATCCCAGACATTGTCATGTTTTCTGTGACCAAGTCTTCATTTGATATCGCTTCTAGTAAAGGAGTGTTCTCCTGTTTCCAGTTTTCCGTTGTATCCTCTTTGATATCCTGATTTCTTAGAGACAGTGTTCAATCCTGCTCCTACTAGGTCTCTGGCCAAACTGTCAACCCTAAACTGAAATTCCCACCTTCTTCCAGTTCCCCTGAGGTTGACAGCTGTCTTACTGGGCTTCCCTGACTGTTCTGATCCAGAACCACTCATCACTGCAGCTGCCGACCCAAACCGCCCCCCTCTGGCCACTGCTAGGGCCTGTGGTGAGCATTAGCTCCAGCTACCATGGTTTAAACAGACATACCCCAAATGGGGTCTGCCCACAGGAAGGGAAGCTTCCAGGAAACTGGAAAGGAGATCCCGTCACTCAGGGATGGCAAAAGAGACTGTGACCTGGAGAAGGGATGCCAAGTGGTTACTGCCAAATACCTGAAGCACTGCTGTACTGAAAACACAGTTATGCCACAGGCTCTAGATTCAGCACAGGAACCAGAAGTGGAAACTATAAAAGAGCATATTATTGCTTAACATAGCAAAGAACTTTCTAGCAACATACCGTAACACATTTATCTTAGTCCCTAGGGCTTTTCGGAATTCTTCTGCACCTTCCTCAGTATGAGTCTGCCACATGTTAGGATCCAACACTCCAAGTACCTGAGGTGCTTCTAGGAGTAAGGACTGCAGCGTCTTCCTTGCCTGTCTTTTCAGCACCCACTGAGGGGTGCTAACTTCGTTAACATTAAATTACTCTTTCTTACACCAAATCATGCACAGCGGGCTCCAGGCAAGGGCTCCTGTGGACTGACCATAGCTGCCTTTTTGAGTTCACCAGGATGAGGGAGCTTGTTCCGGTGCATGAGAAGATGGAACTCTATCTGTCCACATGGAGGGAATCTGGGGTGAGGACAGAAGAGCTGCCATAAAGTAGAAGGGGAAGGACAGACCCAGTGTTTCATTGTGGGGGAGGGCACTTACCAGCAAAAGAAACAAAACAAAACAAAAAAGCCAAGCAAATAAATAAACAAAAGCCCAAGCAACAATAAAACTGTCTGAGGAACCTCTTCGAAGCAGCTCGGGGATGAGTCTATCCTTGGAGTTTGCCTGTGGAGGCTCAGTCCTGACGAGCCAGTCCAAACCCACCTTGTGAGGCGTCCGTGCAGTGCACAAAAGTGAAAGAGGAAGTGTGAGCTGCAGAAACGAACAGAAGCAGCGACTTCCCGAGCCAAGAAAACACACCCAGATGACCCGAACCCTGAGCAGGTAGCCACCTGGTTCATCTCATGTGATGCTGCCATGGGCTCCTGGCTCCGCGGCTGCGTGGTCCTGTTTTTCCTGGGCACAGGTGGGACATCTCTGTCTTTGGACTTCTAGCATTCTTCATAGAATTCCCTCATAAGACTCCCTCCTGGGCTTAGTCTAAATTTGGGTTTTTACTCCCACAGGCCCTGTGGACACTAAGATTACCCAGATTCCAAAGCACCTGGTCACAGCAATGGGAAGTAAGAGGACCCTGAACTGTGAGCAATATCTGGGACATAATGCTATGTATTGGTACAAGCAGGAGCCTGAGAAACCACTGGAGCTCATGTTTTCTTACAACTATAAGGAACTTGTTCAAAATGAGACTGTGCCAAGTCGCTTCACACCTGACTGTCCTGACAGTGCTCACCTGCACCTTCACCTCTATGCCCTGGAGCCAGGAGACTCAGCCGTGTATCTCTGTGCCAGCAGCCAAGACACAGCCTTGCAGAGTCACTGCCTCCCTATGCACAAACTCCCAGGTCCAGCCAGGAAGCTGTGGGGGCGATGTGCTCCCCTGAGCGATGAGGCTCTGTTCAGCTCTCCACAGGACCCGGACAGAAGCTCAGACCTTAATCCTGCCTGGCAACTTATTCAATACGACAATGCTAAAAGCCATGCCCAGGACACCAGCAGCCTGAGGCTGGGCTTTGCCTTGAACAAGACTGTGCCTGCAGCTGAATACAGGACAGAAACTCTCAACTTTAAGTTGTTCCAAGAATCTTCCAAAGGCAATGCCCCTAGAAAATCTTAATGCTCTGGCCCTACCCATCCTTCCCATATACACCTTTCTCTAACCTATCTGTCCACCTGAGTTAGACCCCAGACTTCAGCCCTCATCCCAGCTCCACATATGCTTAGGCTTTTTTCGAAAGACCTCATCTCCTCCCCAAGTGACTGTCAGTTTCTGTCACTGAGGATAATAGTTCTCCATCTGGTTTGCATCATTGTTCTCTGGTTCATTCTTCTTGTCCTACATTAAGGATTTCAGCTTTTTGTTGGTGTCTCCCTTCTACTCAGGCTTTAACACTTTCAAGCTTGATTCTTTGTGTGTGTGTGTGTGTGTGTGTGTGTGTGTGTTTTATTTATTTATTCCATGAGAATAGAGAGACAGAAACACACCACCTCTGACAGACTCTCAAGGACACAACCTACTGCAAGCTTTTGACAGCCCAGATCATGAGCACACATGTGCCTGGCCTTTCCAGAGAGTTCTTTGGATATGAACCAGCAGCGGTCTGCCTCGTGTTTACTGCCCAGACACTGTCTGGCCCCCTCAAGCTTGATTATTTTGCTCTCTGTCTCTTTAATCCTAACATGAAATCTTTAAATACTACATTCCCAGCTGTAGAGTCTGATGCCCATAAATCGTGGCTCATCACAAGTCATAAGTGAGGAAGATCTCCTGACATTTCTGAGCAGGATTTTATACTCTGGTTAGCTTTGTTGAGCCCAAATTTGGTGTTACTCCTAGCAATGCCCTCTGTCCTGTACATACCAGTGGACTCCAGGGGCTGAGCAGAACCCTGAGTCTTTGCGGGGAAGGGGAGTTGCAAGAATCTGCACTGGCACAAAGGCTTCCTCTTCTCTCCTGTAGAGGGTGCTCCAGAAACACCATTAACTTCTAGGCCTCTCCTAGGGGGGCATGGAAGTTCAGAACACCCGTCTTCCATTTCTAATGACCAGAGGCCTGAGCTAGGAGAGCCTCATGCCTGCTGTGACCTGCCATGGATACCTGGCTCCTGTGCTGGGTGGTTTTTAGCCTCTTGAAAACAGGTTAGATCCTTAGGACTCCAGGAAATTCTCATCTTAGATTGATTCAAGATAGTCCTAAACCTCCCCCCACCCCAATCTTTTCTCTTTCCACAGGTCACACAGAACCTGGAGTCACTCAGACCCCTAGCCATCAGGTCACAAGGATGGGACACAAAGTTGTCTTAGAGTGTGACCCTGTTTCTGGTCACTTATACTTCTACTGGTACAGACAGATCTTGGGGCAGAAAATGGAGTTTATTGTATCCTTCTATGATAAGCCCATGGAGAAGTCTGAAATATATAAAGAGGATCGATTCTCAGTTAAAAAGCCTAGTGCATCATACTTCACTCTGAAGATTGAGCCCACAGAACTGGAGGACTCAGCCGTGTACTTCTGTGCCAGCAGTATAGCCACAGCCCTACAGAGACACCTCCAGCCTGTGCACAAAGTCAGATGTCTTCTTCTCTCTCAAAGAGCAGCACCTCTTTCCTGACCAAGGCAAGGGAGTGTGATTAGGTTTGTTGTTACCACTCTCTCCAAATAGATTAATGTTTGAAATTAAATCACTGAGGAGATATCCAGAATCTATGAAATTTGTAGCACTTTTTTCGATACTACGGAGTGTGACTGTGAACTCCAAAGATAATAGTCACCTAACAAGTGACCAAATGAATTATATTTTCCTTTTATCCACACTTTGCTATTTCTGTTGGAGTTTTCTTTGTTTATTTTGGTTGTTTAAGAAAAAAATATTCTAACTGATAGAATGAAAAGATGATTATGATAAAAGATGATTATGAAAAGGTGATAGAGTATAAATTCACGTATTTATATGAAAATGTCAGGTATCCCCAGTGGAAATCTTCAGGAGGATAATGAGTGCAGTACACAGCCTAAATATTAAGTCTTTTCCAGACTGTGTCAAGGTCAGAAATATCTGATGACAGTTTAGTCTGCTATGATGCATTTAGGGTCACGGTGAGGGCCCACTTGAGAATGAGCTAAGAGAATAGTAACCATGAAGCCCATTATTGAGGCACCACTTCAAGGCCAATGGAGGTCTGAAACGTCTGTATTTGTATAAGCTGCAGCTGCCCTCCACCTTGAAGACCTGATTATTCGGACTTAATGGAAGTAGTCTGAGCAAACTGTATCAGATGCTCTGTGTATTATATCCTGTCATATTCTCTTGAGCTCCCTTCGGTTTTAACCTCAGCTATGATGAGCAATTTCATGTAGATATTGACTCATTTCCATGATTGCACTTCATCTTAAATGTGGGCCGTATGTCCCCGAAGGGCTCTGTTGCTGGGGCCTGAAACACACTGGTGGTCTGCATAGCACTTGGACATACGCAACTCAGAAGTTTGATATCATTGATGCCCAAGCATTCAGAAATGAGAAGTGATGGGTTTATCATCGGTTTCTGTCTAGAAAGTACTATGTGATAACTGGTCAACCATCAGTAGCGATGGCCCAATTCATATGCTTTCCTTTGTTTCTATTTTTTTTTTCAGTTAGGTCTGAATATTTTCATCGAACTTACCTTCTAATTTGTGTATGCTTTTCAGCTTTATCTATTTTTTCTTTTAAACATATATATTGAATTCATAAGCCCATGTGTTTTCTATCTTAGTACTAGAATTTCCATTTAAACCTTGACTAGAGTTTCCAGAAGTGTTGTAAAATTCTTCATTTTAAAATGTAGTTTGTTGACTTTATTAATATTGGTTATTTTTAAACTAGTGTCTAATGATTATAGTATTTGAATCTGCTTGGGTCTATCTCTTTTGTCTGTTTTCTCTTTCTGGTGTTTGGTTATGTGATCTTATTTCTCATATACCCAGTAATTCACTTCTGTGCTGGAAATTTATATGAAAAATAAAAAGAGGTACAAGGGGATCTTAAAATTTTCATGTAAAATGGAATTTAAAAATAATATTATTTTACCACAAATTTTTGAAGCCCTTTCATAATTTGACGCTTGAAATGACTTCATCTTCCTCCAGCAGATTCATTTTTGCTTCTGTTTCAATGGTCATATTTGAGTCTCTCTGACTGGCTATTATTAGTCGTAGGTTTTGAAATACTCTGAGAGTACCTCTGGAATCCATGGTTTACTTTCTGTCCCAGGCCTTAGACCTCAGACTTTGTCAGACTTTACAAAACGAGTGTGTGTGTGTGTGTGTGTGTGTGTGGTGGGGGGGTCTTGGACACACCAGGATCTTCTTAGATTGAAGTTCCCTCGTCTTTTCTGGTAGAGTTTCTCCTAGGGCTGAAGCTGCCTTAAAGATGATAATGTCACAATTCTAACAGCCTTTGAGGGGAGGGGAGCTTTCTTCCCAATGGCCTGAAGCCTGAGCCTCATTCTTGCCTTGCTTTTACACTGGTCACTGAGCTCCTTACCTCTGTGTCTATGAAACATCATTCTGAGAAGGGAGGACCAGGGGCTAATCTCAACCGTTTCCTCTCCCATAGATATCCCTGTTTCTAAGGCCTCTACCACCCTGCTGACTGACCTTATCCACACAGAACTGAGTTCTGACACTTTTGACTGTTCAGCCACAAGGAGGAGCTGTGGCTCTACTGACATATAAGACTGATAGCATTCTCCGGATGGGAGAGGGTTAAGACAAAGTTTGGATTTATTTACCACAAGGGAAAACGTGGTCTACAAGGAGGGTGAGTTAATGCTGCACAGGAGGACTTAAAAATAGTTGATTCCCTTTGCTTTGATGTGCAGGTAATTTTGTCCCAGCAAAGGACCTTGGACTATCAGACTTCTTGCCTCTGAGTTTGCATGGGATTAGAAGGGAAGAGTTTGAGCAGGTGCAGGTCAAGGACCTGTTTCTGAATGCAGTAAGAATGGCTTGGGAGCTGGACTCTGTCTCATCTCTGCCTAGTCCAGTCAGTTAGTCTGACAGGCAAGCAATCCTTAGAGATCTTCAGAGATAGAAATAACTAAGGGAAATCTACTTATCAGGCTCAAGGAGGCCCCATATCTCTCATTACAGATTATCAGGGCATTAAACTAGAAGGCTTTTCCTTTGTGGGCTTTTTTTTTTTTTCTTTTCCTTTTTTTCTTAAATTTCTTTTTTTATTTTTTATTTCTCTGCTGGATGGTCTTTGTTCTCGCTGTTCCTGAAGTAGGAACATTTGAGCAATGGCAGAAAACCCCCTTTTTTTTGGTTTGAGTAAATGGTTCTAACAAAATAGTAGCAACTGACACTCTTCTGGATTCTATCTCCAACTTCTGTCTCTATCTACAAAGAAGCACAGAAGCTAAAATTGTCCAGATGCCAAAACAGCTAATGATACCAAAAACCTAGAGATAAAAAAGACGGTGGAATTTATAGGTTTCCAGGATGTAGATCTGAAACATGACTTTTACTTGAGACTCTTGTTTCACCTAAAATTAGAAAAAAAGAATTTGGAATTTCCCTTGCTTCTTGGATATCCAAGAATGAAACAAAATTATATCTTATATAGGCTCTAGAAGTTATGTAGTAGGAGTAAGACAAAATAGCTCTCATTCTCCATATACAGTCTAACCTACTGCCTGAAGTAAAATCCCAGTCATGTCCAGGAAAACCATCAACCCTTCTGCAAAGGTTAATTTTGCCTTTCATTTTAGAATGGAATAAAGCAATCTACTGAAGAAAGCCAACTCACTTGTCCATGCTGAAATCTAGATATCTTAACTTTTTGTATTATGAGCCTCTTCCAAAGTATATTAAAAGTCATAAACATCAGAAAATACAAGAGGAACCAGCAGTTAGCATAATAGCAATGTCGCTGGACTCCCATGTAGTCGACCGCAGTTCGCATCCTGGACCCGGTGGCTTAAAACTCACGCCGGGCGCGTGTGTGTGCATGCCCAAGATCCCAAGAGGAGAATGGAGGAGAAGGGATTGCGGCATGGCCATCCCCCCTGGGGGGTGATTTCTTGCTTTCTGTCTCTCTGTCTCTCTCTGTCTGTCTGGTGAGGGCATGCGCCCTATAGCAAAAACCTCTCCAAAAATAAGTAAGTAAATAAATAAATAAACTAACAAAATAAAAAAATTAAAATATAAGAACACACATTTCTAATCTCAATATTAAATATTTAAAGCAATTAGTTGTAACTTAAGATGGGAATTCAGGGTCTCTATGGACTCTCTCCACTCTTGCCCCTGGCTATACCTTCTTCCTAATAAAAAATGAGTCATATGATCATTTTAAAAATTTAAATAATGGTTATGTATCATAATATTGCATTTAACTTTTGTTGATTGTTGCTTTCAAATGACTGTAGTTAAAACATTACCCATGTAATAGTAGAAAAAATAAATGTTATATTCATGCCATATATTGGCTTTTGTGGTTTTACTTTCTCTCTTCCCTTGTCTCCTCCCTCCCTTTCTTCCCCTCTTCCTTCCTTTCTTTGAGAAGCATCACATGTCAGCTGTGGTGCCGTGAGGAAAATACTGGGATCCTGGACGAATTTGGCCTGTATGTAGGGGTATTCCTGGTTGTGCTCACAGAGTTTTGGAGCTGGACCTGGTGTTGAAAAGTATTTATTTAATCTCACCATTTATAGATGAGAAAACAGGGTGGTGTGTGAAATGTTTACATGTAAATACTGATTGTATTCCTGACCTCTGTGTGACGTGCATTTTACATCCTCAGTCTACAGGTAACATGTGAATTTCTTTTCGCTTCTATCAGAATTGAAGGATCATGAGAGTGAGAGTGTCATCACACTCATGCTGTGCACTAAGGAGACCTTCAATGACTACAAACAAGTAAACCATGCTTGGATCCAAGGACAGTGACCACTCTTCCATTGTTTGTTGCTGTGACCTTAGTGCTACTTCTGCGTTTAATAAACCACAAGTCAACCACCTGGGTCTGTCTTCGGAGAGGCTACATCAGTGGTCAACAGCACTAACAAAGGCTTTTTCTCGTGTGTGTGTGTTGGTGGGGCAGGGGGTAGTTGGATGCTTTCCTGGCAACTAAGTTCCCTGATTTTACTCCTGGGGTTGCTGATCTGGATCTATTACTGAGAGATGTCAGTACTAGGCCTTGATGACCACCAGACCGGGAGCAGTCTGGTGCGGGGAGGAGAGAAAGGAATACTAGGAAGAATAAGAGGGACAGTGGTCCTCAGCCAGGTGTAGTTTGGCAATGTCTGGAGACATTTTTGGTCATTACAACCAGGAGTGGCTCCTGGTGTCAGGTGGGCAGAGGCCAGGAATGCTTCTGAGCACCCTACAGGGCTATCTGATGTCTGCCAATAGCACTGAGATCAAGAAACCCCTGGGCTAGGCGCTAGATTGTCAACTTTGTACCCAAACAGAGGCTGACCTGTTGATGGTGTGTGAACAATAAAGTCGTAGCGTTTCCATTGTCTCGGCTTCTTTCCCCTCTATAACCATTTGCACCCAACATGTTCCCCAACAGCCTCCTCTTGGCAGGACCTTCATACTTCTGCCCCTTGGACAAGTAATCACTTCCCAGGGAGGGGTGCTACAGGACCCTCCCCGAAAGGCTCAGCAGACTTTGCTCCTAACTAACATCTTCCATGGGTTTTAAGTGGCTGTAGCTGGTTTTCAGGTGAGACCCTTTTCTCTCCCCAGTCCATCCCTGGCTCATCACTGAAGTGTCAATGGGTGGAGACGCTGAGGCAAAGTCAGGCATTGGAGAGACAAAGATTTAGAGGGCTCATCTTGCATTACTGTGAAGCAGAAGCAGAAGATCAAGAGGGGAAACCAGCTTGTAAGGGAGAAGGGAGGAAGTGGCCAGGTCTGGGGGTGTACGAAGGCAGCTGCTGACATAAGAATGGCCGGCAGAGACCCTTTCCCAAGGCAGCATGTCCACCCATTCAAGTTATCCCCAGAAATACCACATACTCCTTTGAAAGGAGCAAATGCAGGACATGAAAAAGGAAGAGACCATGTCAGTGAAGGCGCTGAGAAAGGGAAAGTGAATCCTGCCTGTGACATCACAGGCAGAGCATGTGTCAGGTAGAGGTGACAGCAGCATTGACTTCTTACCACTGCAGATCAGCACCCTGGGCTCAGAGCTTGCCTTATCTACCCTGACTCTGCCATGGGCTGCAGGCTTCTCTGCTATGTGGCCCTCTGCCTCTCGGGAGCAGGTGAGTCCTGGGTCCAGGTGGCATGTTCCTGTTTGGGTCTCTAAGTTCTCCTATCATGCTGGCAGCAACAGGCTCCCACTCCGTAGAGTTTGTCTGAATCCTGCTTCTTTCTTTTGCAGACCCCTTGGACACAGCTGTTTCTCAGACTCCAAAATACTTTGTCACACAAATGGGAAATACAAGATCTTTTTACTGTGAACAAAATCTGGGCCATGATAATATGTACTGGTATAAGCAGGACTCCAAGCAATTGCTGAAGATTATGTTTAGCTATAATAATAAGGAACTCATCATAAATGAAACAGTGCCAAGTCGCTTCTTACCTAATTCTCCAGACAAAGCTCATTTAAAACTTGACATCAAGTCTCTGGAGCCAGGTGACTCAGCCCTGTATCTCTGTGCCAGCAGCTAAGACACAGCCTTGCAGAATCACTTTCTCCCTGTGCATAAACCTCCTGGCCCAGCCAGGAAGCTACAGCGCAACCCACTTGTCTGTGCCCTGAAGCTGCGTTTTCCATTCCCTTGTGGGATCCCAGTGAAGTTTCAGTGTGTAGTGCAGCCTGCTGATTGACCCAAAGGGCAGCATTACTTTATATGCACATGGAAGTCTTACAGAATTCCTCTAACCAGCTAGAGTAGGGGCTCAGGGGGGGGCTCAAGGTAAGAATTCCTCTAACCAGCTAGAGTAGGGGCTCAAGGTTCAGTCATCAATGTATTCAGGACTCTACAAACAATAAAAGACCCTGTCCTGTATACTGGAGAGCTAAAGCAATGGAAGAAGCCATTCCTTGTCTTTCTCAGCTGTACACATTGGTATAGATTTATATAACATGATTGCAAGCACACTGTTGCTAAAAATGCTTGACTAATATATGCATAAAGAAAGTGGAAGGTAAATGTTTCTAAGGTATAAAAAAATTCAGATTATCAGCGAATTCTCTCTTCAACAGAAAAATATTTGGAGAAGCATAAAGGTACATGACAGTAGGCAAACTTGAATGGAGGAGTGGGGAGGAGTCAATGGAAGCTGTCTTGTGTGTGGTAGCTTCCTTTCTTTTAAGAAAGATGGTCAGAATTGGGATTCTCTCTTAATTCTCACTGAAAGTCAATTTTGAACTCTATCAAGAGAAACCCGTGACCGGATAATAGAGGATATTGTAAGTCTTGGAAAAGACCATGGACACAAATTCTACATAGTGGTTAGTGGCCATTGGTCCCATTTAAGTGAGATACCATAATCAAAATCATATGTTGGTACAGTAACACTGGTGGCAGTATAGATCAGAAGGGAGTTAGATTTGAGGTGATATGAACAATTAGGAGACTTATGTTTTATGTAAAAGATTCTAAAGGGGTTTATGAAGGGCATCTTGCATGATGGTGTAGAAGCTCTTGTAAAATGTTAGGTTCCATTCTGATAGGTCTAGATGTAGGGTTTGCTAGGGTCTGTCTCAGCTTTGCTGTCTCCTAGGGAGTCCTGGCACGCAGTCACCATCATTAGAGCATGGCCTTCAGGGGTTTCAGAACTGCAGCATATTCCTCAGTGCCCATCCATTCTAACTGGATCTGGATCACAATGTCTCCCAGATTTGTTGTGTTTTGGAATCTCTGCTCAGCTCGCTAGACTTCCAGAACTGGTTTTCTGTTCAGCCTTCTGGAATCCAATTCTCTATAAACACGACCTAGGAAGTGTCTTCCCCAAAAAGGAATTTCCTTATAGTATTCTGAGAACTCCTTTTCAACACTCTGTCCCAAATCCTAGCTGTGTAGGAGTATATCTTTTCTAGTTATCTTCAAGCAACACACGGTATTACTATTTTATGTAGGCATGTTTTTAACGCATTTTCATCATGTTTACATTCTACTTCTTACTCTTTCTTCCTGTAATTCAGACTATCCATAGATCACTTTCCTTCTTATGGCTGAAGCTCTCTTTTCACCCACTCTTTGCTGTGTGGAATGTTCAGATTAGCTATTGTTCTCAGGACAACCAAGCTTTTCACTTTCACTTTTACTCTCACTCTTATGCAAGGTTTAAGTATAAATTCTATTTTTTTTTAATCCTTGGAATTTTGTTTGCTTATTGGGAGCCAAACAATGCAATAACATCTTATTTTTTCAAAAATTATTTTATGTTTCTTTTCTTTGCTGAAGTAGAGGCCTCTAGTAATGATTTTAATAGTCACAATACTAGCCTTTAAACCAGAGTAGTTTTAAGTTGTCATCTAAGAGTGGAATATCTCCAACTATAGAGGCTGGAGGTCCGCTGTGTGTGTAACCTGTTCAGAGGAGACAGTATCCAGACCTATTCCCTTAAATTCAGATGAAATACCTTTCCATTTTTTTAAATTTATGGGCCAAACTGAAAATCTGATAAGATCTATACATCACAAAAATGCTAATATTTCCTCCTGATTCAGCATATCCTTGGGTTAAAAAAAAAAATCTAAATGATCAATCCTTGACTTAAATCATGAGTAACTATCTTCCCTACCCCTTACACAGATTTATGTGTAACAAAGAGTTATAACCCTAATCCCACAGTTACAATGGCCATTACAATTTGGCAATAAATATGTAATATAACAATAAATAAATGATAAAAATCATTAAGTGATCGTGCATAACTTCATTTTTATGTTTTCTCAGAGCTTCAAATTTTCTAAGGAAAAAACTTATCCTGGTATAACAGTACATTTTAAGAAAATTTTCAATTACTGAATGGTCAAAAGACATAAACATCACATATTAAATTAGAAATAACCCATGATAGGTCTTCCTTGTTAGTCCCGAATTGGAAAGCTCCCCGTAGAGCTGATTTGACTAGTTTGCTTTGTAACCTTTCAGAAATAGACAGGGATTTTGAGATCATTTTATTTCAGTTTCCCTGATTTAATGGATGAGAAAATAGGGTGTCACATATGTGGAGTGATTTAATCACAGAAATACTGATGAAGATATATTTTTACTCCCGAGTGCTTGTCTATAAATCTGTTTAATTGTCCTTCTAAAATGGAATTCCGTGGGTGAACTTGCTGATGCTTCACGCTTGTTTCCACCTGTTGCTTACTGAGTATTTGTTGAACAAACTGACCTCTAAGTTCCACAGGGGGCTGAGATTAGTGTCTGTTCTGCTCGTTATTAAGAATCCAGATAGAAGCCGATTTCTGTTGCATGAGACACGAATGTCATAGGTGTGTGGACGGCTGGTGCCTGGCCTTCATTGCTTCAGAGGCTTCCTTCCTCCTTATACTGCGCTGGCTTTTCAAACCCATCCGGCTGCTCAGGCTCTGCTGGATGTAGGACAGAAAGGTCCAAGGAGCTGAAGCTGGTTGAGGCCTGTGGGCTGGGAGATTTGCTGCTTTGGCCACGGGGAGGCGCTATGTTCTAGTAAAACCTGTGCATCTGGGGTGGAGGAGGGGAAGGAGTGAATGGAGGAATGGGGCTAGCGATGGAGGAGTAAAGCTAATGCGTCAGGCTCCATCCTTATATCACCGAAGTCAGTTTCAGTTTCAGATGGATTTCCTCTTGTCTTGCTGTGCATGTGCATGGTATTGTCTCTGCAGGCTGTGCATAGATTTGGAGTAAGCCCAGGCAAGTCCTTCAGCCACAGTGGCTGATCCCTTTCAGCTCCCTTGGCACTCTTGCCAGTGCCCACTCTGCACATTAGATAGCGGACAATGGGCCAGTTTGGAACTGTGGTCATCTGATCACCCTCTGCCACAAAGATGGGGAAAGAGGACTCCGACTAGTTCAGGCACAGAGAGAAGCAACACTGAGAGAAGAGGAAGATCCCTTGAGGTGGAAATGACCTGTCCCTGAGGGGGGGCGGTCTGGGAAGGGAGGCAGGTAGAAGGAGGAGCTATTATCCATAAGGAGAAGGACAGCTAAGAGCAAAAGAGCAACTGGCTGAACGATATACCCTTGAGCCATAAAAAGCAGCCTCTGCTCTTTCTGCCTATAGCAGCTCATCCCAGCCAACTAAATTCAAATCCACTCAGAGGTTATAGAAGGCATAGAAGGGGTAGGAAGAAACAGCTCCTGAAACTGGGGAAGCTGTTAGGAACAGTGACATCACAAGTGAAACTACCAACCAGGAGGGCCAAAGAAGCTGGAGACTGGCCCCCTCCTCCAGAACTTCCCAGCTGGGCAGGGTCCATCTCAGACCTGACTCTACCATGGGCTGTGGGCTGCTCTGCTGTGTGGTCCTCTGTCTCGTGGGAGCAGGTGAGTCTTGGGCTCAAATGGGTTGTTCTTGGGCTCCACGCCCTCCTCTTTGGGCTACTGCAACATCCTTCCTCCTGGGCTCTGAGATTTTCCCCTTTGCTCTACAGTTTCCCTGGACACTGGAGTTACCCAGAGCCCAAAACACCTGGTCATGGGAAGGACAAATAAAAAGACATTGAAATGTGAGCAACGTCTGGGACATAATTTTATGTATTGGTATAAGCAGAAGCCCGAGAAGCCACCAGAGCTCATGTTTATCTACAACCTCAAAAATCTCTTTCAAAATGAGACTGTTCCAAGTCGCTTCTCACCTGAATGCCCTGACAGCTCTCACCTCTACCTGCACCTGGATGCCCTGGAGCTAGGAGACTCAGCTGTATATCTCTGCGCCAGCAGCCAAGACACAGCCCTGCAGTGTCACCACCTCCCTGTGCACAAACCTCTGAGTCCAGCCAGGAAGCTGTGGGGCAACCACAGGCAGTTGAACATTTCCTTAGGACCACAGACAGAAGCTGTAGACCTAAATATCACCTGCTGATTCCACCAGTGGGGTATCTTTACATTCTAAGCACAAATTTAGAGTGTGAGAATTCTACTTGAGTGAGACACTGCCCTGTCAAGTGATCAAAACATAAACACTTGGGATCTAGCTTTATTTTAGCATTGTTAGTGCCTTTTTGAAATTGTGAAATAAAACAAGCCTGGTGTGAAGTGGATGGTTTGGTTTAACATCTCACAGGAGTCCTCCAAAACAACATCCGTGGCACTGTGGTCACGACCTGCTCAGGGAAGAGGGTCAGAGCACGGTCCCAGGATGAGGTGTCTTGCTCTGAACTCTTCAGATTCCGCCCCTCCCTTAGGCTCTGCCTATCCTCTCAGGTACCACAGGACACCTGGAAACTAGAGTCAGCCAAACCCCTAAGCACTATGTCAGAGAGCTGGGACAGAGCATGGCTTTGAGGTGTGATCCCATTTCTATTTTTCTTTCTTTTCTTGTTTTGCTTTATTTTGTTTTGCTATAGTGGGTGTGTACTGGACAGAGAGAAAACAGGAGAGAGAGAGAAATAAAGTGAGAAATCAGCCCCTTACCAGGAGGGATGCCCACTCCACAATCCCTTCTCCTCCATTCTCCTCTCAGGATTTTTGGACACACATGCACACACAGTGCAGTGTGATTTTTCAAGCTGCCAGGTCTGGAACTCAAACCACAGAGTTGGCCATGTTGGATCCAGTTGCTTTAACTTCCTTGCCACCTGCTGGCCCCATTTCTGGTCATTTAAACCTTTCTTGATACCAACAGACCCCTAAAAATAATGTGGAACGTTGGTGTTTCTTTGATAACAAGATTCCTTCAGAGGAGGTAGACTTTTTCCAAGCATTGATTCTCAGCTGAGGTACCTGAAGGATCATACTCTACTCAAGATCCAGTCCATGCAGCTGGGAGATTAGGGTATGTATCTCTGTGCCAGAAGTTTAGCCCCAGCCTTGCAGAGACGCTTCCTATCCTGCACAACCCCTACTGCTTCTCCTCTCTCCCCAGGCTCTTGGCAGCCTATCCTTGTCTCAGGAGTAGAGGGGACTGTGGTGAGGACTGAAGACACTTGTGTAAGCAGAGGTCAATATTAACTTTTATTGCCAGAATGGTGCATACAAATAGAGATATTTGGGTCCCTGGTTGAATAATGTCTTCAGTCACCATGGAGTGTAGCCAGGGATTCTGAGGACTGGATAAGTGTAGCCAGGTGAGCGATAAGACCAACCCACAGAGGACTCTCTGTAGCCTCTTTTTGTCTCGTTTTATTTCTTTTTATTTAGCAAAACATGCCTTCTATTTTGAGTGGAGACAGGCTTAGTAGAAAGGAGATGAGGGATTTGCCTGAGGAGATGAGAGATTTGCTTGAGGAGATGAGGGATTTGCCTGAGGATTTCAGAGATCCTTGATTGGGAACTTTCCAGAACATGAAGGATCTGAGCACTAGAGCCTGAGCCAGTGGAGGAGGAATATTCTGGAATGGTAGTTGGCAAAGGCAGAAGGAGCTCAGGGCCCTGCCACCTGCCACAGGCGGGCTCTGGGTATCTCGTCTATGAGCTCACACTCTTGGGCTGCAGGACCAGCAGGCATCCGGGCAACAAGGGGTTCGTTCATGAGCAGGTGCCTGGAGAGGAATGCAATGAGCTCTCTCCTGTGGCAACGAGCTGCATAGGAGGAGGGAGCTGCTTGCTCTTGGCATGCTGTGTGGAAACAGGGTTGACTTTTCAGAAGCTGTGACCATAGGGTTCCTGAACAATCGGAGGGGAAATATTGTAGGAAATGCTTCATGAGGAGAAATTCTGGATTTCCTACTGGTAAGGCAGGAGGAGCTCAAATATTCAATTAGTAAAATTAAATGAGATATGGTATGCTAGATAGTTGGGTAGATCATGTTAGTTATACACCAATTTATTCATTCATCAACTCATTTTTTTATTTTATTTATTTTTTCTTGTGTAGACAAAAGATTCCTTGGGCTGGCTTGTGGCCTAACAGTTAAGTGAACTGGATCTCACATGGCAACTGCAGATTGAGGGTCTCAGACCCAGTAGCTTCAGAAACATGCTGGACACATGTGTGCTGGTGCCCAAAGTCCTAAAGGGAGGGAGAAGTAAAGGTGAAGTGGTTGTAGTATGACCATCCTGAATGACGGAGGAGTGCTGTCTTCCTCTCTCTGTCTCTCTGGTGAGCACATGTACCCTCCAGTAAATAATAAAATTAAATAAACTCTTCGGGGCCGGCAGGTGGAGTGGTGGTTGAGGGTGCTGAACTCCCATGTGGGCAACCACAGTTCAAGTCCTGGACCTGGTGGTTTGCTTTCTCTCTCTCTCTCTCTCACACACACACACACTGTCCCTCTCTGGTCAAAATTTAAATAAATAAATGAAGGTAAATAAAATATTTTTAAAAATAGACTCCTCTATCCAAGATATTGAAAGTACAGTTGGTGCTTTGTAGGCATGCAATGTGCTTCAGGGGATGATACAGATCACGTATGATGCAAAGATCAGCCCAGCCCAGGCAGGAAACTGTCCTTGGCACTATGAAGTCACAAGCTCCTCTAGAAAGGGTTGCTGGGGCCACTAGCACAGAAAATCCAGAGAGAGAATGTGCAAAACTTGCAGATGTATATTTTCAGGGCGACCATGTCATTTATCATCCCAAGCAGGACATTTTGGGAGTGAAAGGGATGTTGTTAATAATTACCCTTGGACAGCAGAAGTCTTTTGAGACATAGGTTAATCCTTCCGTGTAAATCCCCATCCTGGAGTTCATCTCAAGTCCTAGGCAGAAAGAGCCTTGCCTTGGTCTAGCCACTGACCAGGCCCTGTGGTTCTGGGCCCTTTATCTCCGAGAGGCAAAGACTCTAGAACTTAGATGGTGTTCTCCTGTTTTGGGCTGGGATGGCTGACTGACTTTTTGATCTCTTAGTAGACTGGCAGAAGCCAGCTGGGAAGAACAGTTGGAGGAGCCTGAGTCTTTCCAAGTTCTGTCTCTTTCGGGGATTCTGTCGCCATTACTGGAGAGCCCCAAACCATGAGCTCGCAGCCTGGCTACGACCCTGCACAGGCACCTCCTCAGCAGGGGTGGCAGGCACGCTGGCTGATGTGGCATTACCTGGAGTGTGGGGTAGAGGCATGGTGTGCACCTTCATCCCAGGTCTGTTCCACCCTGGAATTGTGACCCCAGCACCCCAGGTCTGGTTGCTTTCCCCGTCCTCCCAGCCTCCTTCCTTAAGTTTCTTCTTTTTTTCTCTTTTGGACTTTACCTTTGCCCTTTGCTCTCAATTTCCTCCATGCAGGAAGAAGATTCCAATTTTATTTAAAGGTCAGTGGAATCTCCTTTCACCTCCTCCCCATGTGCAACACGCTGGTCTTTCTTTTAGGGTCTTTTGCAACTTCACTTCGCTTCATTTATAGTCCCATTCCCTCTCACCATTGTGTCTTCTGATACTTAACCTCAGGGTGTGTTTATATAGATGATAGTTTCAACTTTAAAGAAAAATGCCAAATGCATGGCAAGTCTTCCAAAAATGGTAGGAATTCTGATTATTATTTTCTTAAAGGTACTCTAGCACTTCGTATGTCTTTGCTCCATGTGAGTTCATCTCAGAGGGCTGGAGGCTGAGCAGAACCTACGGATTTTAAGTGATGCAGTCTCTAAAACATGATTATCTGTGCTAAAGAAGAAGACAAGACAAGCTAGAAGAGCCACAAAAGCTATTTTTCTATTGCACGATGGAGCTTCTCACAAAGAGGAAGGGCCTCTTGGACAGTAAACCAGATATCAGCCTCAGTAATCACACCTTGGGGTAGAAGACAGAGGATGCTGACCTGTAATCCAGCCTGGGCAGTGCTAGAGAAATAGAATTAAAAACAAAATTCCCTTCTAGCCCAGAAGACTCCTCCATAAACATAGAAGAGGAAGGAAGTAGTTCAATTATAAAGGGAATTAAGTCCTGGGCAAGGCTGGACTTCCTGGGAAACTGGTATGTCAGGGCTCAGAATTAGTACACTGAGAATATCCATGAATATGTGACTTCGGTTTATAGCATTCAGCATAGTGAGCTCTGTGACTATTTTGTATGTAGGTGTATCTTTTTTTTTTGTATAAAAATCTTTAGTCTAACATGCTTTATTAACAAATCAGAACTTTTGAATGTTTAGATTAAGGCTGAAATTTAAAAAATTAAGCCCAGAGTAATTCCATAAAGAATGAAGTAAGAATTCAAGACAATAAATAACAATAATTCAATAAAAACAAAAAAGTAAGGTATATATTCACAAGTAATTTTAGAAAAAAAAGTGTTTATAAAAATGAATTTAAAAATGTTAATGGCTATTAACTCTGGATAGTGGGCAATGTTTATATTACATACAATAAAAATGTAACATTTAATGTTAAAATGACATGCATTTTGTCGAAAAAGAACTTTGGTAACACCACCCCCAGAAAAGATGTACAACACGTTACTGTCATTTCTGCATTCTATCCTCTTCCAGTCAGTGTTCACGTCCCCACAAACAGGTAACCATGACCGATGCTTCATCAGATTTATCTCTAAGTAGTAAACATTGTTGATGATGCTGTCTGACATCCTTTCAATGACAAATACCCATTGTTATTGTGCTTTCATAGGAATACAGCTTAATTTTGTCTAATGAACGTGCATCCTAAAACTTTGCTAGACTCACTTCTTATATTTCATTCTTATGTGCTACACAGCTTTTATATTCTTGTTCGTATTAATTATCACATAGCATATTTATTTGTTTATTAAGTTTATTTCTTCCATGAGTGAGCGAGAGAGAAAACTCACAGCAGGGTCTTGATGGTATGATCTACCCTCAGCCTCAGCCAGCCTCATATCGGTCAGCCTCAGCCAGCTTCAAGATGTGCCCAGCATACTTAGGGAGGTCTCTGGATGAAAACCCAGAACCTTCCCAAGTGGGTCACCCTCACAAGGAGTTGTGTTTTACCACTTTGCCACTGTCTGGTCCCTTCACAGAATATATTTATCATGCTTATTTAAAATTCTCAGTTCATGCCATTCAATAATTTGCTTCCCGGTAATTGACCAGTTGTTATTATCTTAGTTCTCTCTGTCTACTATAACAAAGTACCATAAACTGGGTTGGTTTATAAACAACAAACATTTATTTCCCACAGTTCTGGAGACTGGAAGTCCCTGATCAAAGCACCAGCAGATTTGGTGTCTGCTAAGATCCTGCTTTCCAGTTCATAGATGCTTCAGTGTCTATACATAGTAGGAGCACTAGATAGCTCTCTGAGGTCTTGTTTTTAAGGTAATTAATCCCAATCATGGGAATTCTGTCTTCATAATCTAATTATCTGCAAAAGCCCTTTCTCCTAATACCATCACATGGGTTATTACGGTTCAATATGAATGTTGGGGGGGAGTGCTTGGTCTACTATCTCTTCTTCTACACACATTAATCATACTGGACCAAGACTCTACTCTTAGGACCTTATTTAAACTCAGTTACCTCCAAAAGGACCTCTGTCCAGTCACTTGAGGAACTGCACTTCAACATGGGAATTTGGGGAAACAACCATTCAGTTCCTAACAATGGCAAAGCCTTGGTTATTGCCCAACAGGCCACATGGGGGCACTGTGGAGCCACTGAGTTTCCAAGGTCTTGAGGTAGGGAGAACTCACAGCAAGTTGGGTGGGATGTGGAGATTAAGGAACAACCTTGTTGGATGCTTACATTCACTAGAATGATTGATGACTTGTCCTCGAATTTGCAGGTGTCAGTCCTTGAAGGAGGCAGGAACTTGCAAGGAAAGGAATGCATGTCAGGCTGAGCTAGGGCAGCCTGCAGGCCCTGAGCACTAATGGCCAAAGAAACAACTGCCTCAAGGACAAGCAGAGGAACTGCAGGGTAGACATGGGGTCTAACTCAAGCCAGCCTACACAAGTCTCATCCAGGCCCACATACATGTGAGAGGCTTTTTTCAGAACAAAGAAGATGCCTTGGATTGGCTGAGCCAGGGACTTGCAAGGGAGTCAGATGCACAAGAATCTGCAGAGACCATGACATCATGGCAGTGACATCACAGCCTAACATCCAGTCAGAAAAGGGATGACCATAATGCCAACCCTCAGAGGACCAGAAGTCTGAACAAGGTGACAGCTGTCCAGCTCTTCCTCACCTGCCACAGGCTCCAGTATCCTCTGCTGTGTGACTCTGTCAATTTGGAAGAGGTGAGTCCTTGGTACAGGTGGGCCACCACTAGAAAGTACATGACTGAGGCTCCATAAGGCTCCCCCCTGGGATCTTTCCCCAGTCTCTGTCTCCCTTCCTCACAGTTACAGTGGATTCTACTTTGCAGAAAAGGGAAGCAGCAGACACCAAGAAGCACTGAGAGAGATGATAGCGAGGCAGTGACATGCCAGCACCATTCTTCATCTGGAAAGGAGAGAACAAAACTCAGTTCCTACCCAAGAGGACCAAACCCTGAGCACAGAGGTGCCTGCCTGGCTGCACCATGGATTCCGGGCTCCTCCACTGCATGATGCTTTGTCTCCTGGGAGCAGGTGAGTCTGGGGACAAAGGAGCCAGGTCTGAGTTAAGCGACTTCTGAATCCTCCACTCTACCTTGGGACCCCAGGCACTCTCCTGAGCTCATTCTCCTTCTGCTTCTCCCACAGGCCCTGTGGAGGCAGGAGTCACTCAAACTCCAAGACACCTGATCAAAACAAAAGGACAGAAAGTGACACTGAAATGTTCCCCTATGTCCGGGCACAACAGTGTGTCTTGGTACCAACAGATCCTGGGCCAGGGCCCCCAGTTCCTCTTTGAATATTACAGAGAAGAAGAGAGAGCAAAGGGAAACTTCCCCAGTCGGTTCTCAGCTCACCAGTTCCGTAACTACAGCTCTGAGATGAATGTGAGCTCCTTGGCGCTGGAGGACTCAGCCCTGTATCTCTGTGCCAGCAGCTTGGCACAGCCCTGCAGAGTCACTGACGTTCTGTGCGCAAACCTCTGTGCCCCAGCAAGGAAACACCTCAGACCTGACATGCAGAGAGAACTTGGGGATTGCAGGGGAACTGGAAAATGGTTTTTTCCAGGGACAGTGCAGCTTTGTCCTTTTGAGTCTTTCAGGATTCAGGCCAAGTATGGGCAAAGCTCTTCAGAAGATCGTTCTACATCAGTCGGTCACTCCAGAATGACTTTCTTTGACTATCACTGCTTACTACGCTTCCTACACATTGTGTACTGCAGGGGTGAAGGGAATGCTTGTAATTTAATAGCTGGAATCCTCCTTTTCAGAGCAAAAGATTTTAGTCTGGGTTCAAGACCGTTGATAATTTGTACAGCTGAAATGGTAGGATCATAGAAATTTACATGATATAAATGACGGAGAAGTTGCTGGTATTTGGGGAAGGTCAAGGAGAGAGAACATGATCAAAGATGGTTGATAATAGAGATAGCACTGCCGGGTTAGTAAAAGGTGTTCTGTG